TGAGTAGTTGGGTGGATGAAGTTAAAAACATTTGTGGTGAGAGTTGTTTCTTTGTAATAGTGTGCAACAAAACTGATCTGAAAAATCCACTCATCACGAAAGAAATTGCTCAACAAATGTGTGTAAAGATGTGTATCCCTTTGATGTTTTGTTCTGCAAAAAGTGGGGATGGAGTGAATGAAATATTTGATTATGCTGTTAAAAGTGTACTTGAAAACAGAATGAAAACTCATAATAAAAATAAAACTGTATCTAAAACAATTCATGATGAAAAACAAAATACAAATTATACTACATGGTGCGTGACAGTCTGAACTTGTTTTTAGTTATATACTAATTCTATTGAATATCATTTAAAAATAAATCATGCATTTTTGCTTTAATTTGTTTAAATCATCAAAAATAGAAATCAAATTCAAAACATTTAAAAACACAATTACATTATTTATTTATTTTTTTAAATGAGTGTAACTAGTAAAGTCAAACCTATTTAAAGCTGTTTTAACAAAAATGAGTTATTTCAAGAATAAACATTTTAGCCAATATATTGAAAACTGCTATATTTATTTAAAAAATGCCTGCTTTAGAGAAAACACGAATTACTATATTTAAATACTTTTAAATGGTTTGAATATATAAATCTTAAATTGTTTTATAATTATTATTTTGAACATATGTTTGTTGTTTGTTTTACATATACAAGATATAAATATTATAATTTTTGGGTGTTATACATAACTTAAATATTCATATTACTTAATAACAGGTATATTGTTTATTGTATGTTTACTGTAATAATTATTTAACATACAAAAAATAATATCATCATTTATATGGTATTATTGATGTAAAATTAATATAATGTTGTGTATGAAAAATACAAAATCAAAATGTTCATTGTTAAATATTGGTATATTGTTTAGTAAAAAAATCAGCAAATGTTATTTTTAACCTTGCAGTACCAAAAATTTCCAAAAAAAATGTTAACTTATTTATATCTTATTCATTTTGAGTGTATATTAGAAAGAAATCATGCAAAAAACGTTTTAAACTTTTAACAACTATGGGGAATACCAGGAAACAAATTTAATAGTAAAAAATAATTTATTTTACTACAAATTAATAGTATATTTTAACCTAAAATCGTATTTTTGTTAAAAAAAGGTTCATTTTTCCTGTGAGGAAAACTTGAAGACTTTTCCTGTAATTATTTTCAAGTTTATTTTTTTTCTTTTTATATTAAAAAATTGTGTATAGTATAATAAACTATACATTATGAGTTTTTCTAAATACAGGGTTTTAAAATAAGAAAACGTATCAAATAAAATTCTGATAAAAATTCTTTTATTGAAAAACAAGGGATAAGTCATACTTTGAAAAATCCAAATGTAATTATTTTAATTTAGTTTATATTGTAAATGTTTTGATGTTTTGTAACTAAAAATGTTGATATTTTATTGAATTTTAATATATGTAACAAACAATCAAATATTATGATATTAGTTGTGCAAACACACTGATGGTTAGCGTTCTCACTTTATAACCTTTTGTTGAGAATCATATGTATACGAGATATATTTACAAAATGTTTTCTTCTTAACTATCGTTTTA